AGACAGTTACCTGCAAGCCAGATGTCATATATTAAGGTTCTCGTAACCTTTCGGGAGTGTGTTTTCAAGATATAATGAAAATTCTGACTAGACTTATTTGGCTTATTGTTATATTTCTTATCACTTATGGGCAGTTAGGTTGTCACTGGCATAATTGTGCCATTTGTAAAGTGGTATGTATCTTAAAGGTAGGTACTTTTCAAGATTGGAAGATTCTCATATGATATCTGGGGTGAGTTAAATAGATATTTCATTGAAACAAACAAAGAAATTTCATTGAAACCATTAATCTAGGTTCAAGTGCAAATGTCAGAAGTAGATGTGCCAGTAAATGGGGAAGACTGGTTTTGGCAGAATACATTGATATCTTTTGATCTTGTCATTCCTGTACCATTCTTTGACATTGTGATACCTTTGTGACATCAACCAGTATTCTTTTTTTGGTAGCTCCCCCTACTGTTAAAACTGATTTGCTGATTCTGCTGTTACTTATGAATTTCTAAGGTCTTTGCCCACTTTCTTTGTCTGGACCACTCACCCCAGGTGAAGGGAAGGCAGGACTGGGGAGAAGAGAAATACATATATCCATTACAGGCAAGAGTGGAACATGCACAAAGAGGTGATTGTGTGTGTTGCTTCATATTTTCTTTTTAGCTTTACAATAAGTCTTTGTATGAGAGAAAATCCATTAAATTTTTAATGCTTTTAATCAGTAAGTGTATAGTCTTTCTTTTTTTTTTTTTTTTTTAAGATTTTTATTTATTTATTCGACAGAGAGAGATCACAAGCAGGCAGAGAGAGAGGAAGGGAAAGCAGGCTCCCTGCTGAGCAGAAAGCCTGATGCGGGGCTCGATCCCAGGACCCTGGGATCATGACCTGAGCCGAAGGCAGAGGCTTAACCCACTGAGCCACCCAGGTGCCCCTGTATAGTCTTTTCTATTTGAAGACTTTTTTTGTTTTTTTAAGTAAGCTCCACGCCCAGTGTGGAATTCAGTGTGGGGCTTGAACTCACCACCCTGAGATCACGACCTGAACTGAGATCAAGAGTCAGATGCTTAACCCAGGTGCCTCATTGTTTTATATTTTCTCTTTGGTGAATATTTGTTGATTGAGTAGTACCATCGTGAAACGTGTATTAGTTTTCTATTGATATGTAATGAATTACCCAAATTTGGCAGTTTAAAACAACACATTTTCCTCCAGTTTCATGGGTGAGGAGGATGGGCGCAGCTTGGTTGTATTTCACATAGTTGCAGTCTAGATGTTGACTGAACTTTGGGAGCCTGGGTTCTTTTCCAGGTTCGTGTGATTGTTGATGAATACAATGAAATGTAGGGCTGAGGTCTTTAGTTTCTTGCTGGCTGTCCGCTCCTAGAGGCCCTTTCACTGTTGTCTCACAACATGCCATACCATGTCTTTAAAGCCAGCAGTAGAATTTCTTTTACTTCAGGAAGTTCCTGGTTTTTTGAGGGCTTCCATCTAACTCAGGCCCACCAAGGGTGCTCTTGATTTACTCAGTTGACTTGGGACTTTAATCACATCTGCAGAATCGTCACCCTTCCCCTAATTGTGGAAGGAAAAAAATCTCATCAAATTTCTTAAGTCTTTGCCACACTCATGTAGAGGGTATTGTACCGTTATCTGTTTGATTAATTAAGAATAAGAAAAAAGTTTTAAAATAACATTCACATAGTCCTTTTTAAAAAGTTTTTTAAGTTCAGTTAGCCAACATATAGTACATTATTAGTTTTTGATGTAGTGTTCAGTGATTCATTAGTTACGTATAACACCCAGTGCTCATCACATCAGGTCTATTCCCTTCTTTGATGCTTTTCTTTATGTAGATCTGAATTTTGACCTCTATTATTTTACTTCCCTCTAAATAACTTCTTTTAAAATATTGTGCAAGGCTGGTCTACTGGCAACAAATCCTCCCCCCTTTTTTGGTCTGAGAAGCTATTTATTTCTCTTTCTTTTTTGCAGGATATAGAATTCTACATCTCTAGGGTGTTTTTTCCCCTCAATATTTTAAATATTTCACCCTAGTTTCTTTTTGTTTACATGCTTAAGCAGTCAGATATATTCTTAAATTTTTACATTTTCTCCTCAATAAGTAAGCTGTTTTTCCCTCTGACTTCTTTTAGGATTTTTAAATTTAAATTTTTAGTTTTAAAACTATTTGCTTAGGTATAGGCAGGGTTGGGTTTTTTTTTTGTTTTTTTTTTTTTGTTTTTTTTGTTTTTTTTTTTACATTTTTCCTTGTTGGTGTTCTCAGAGTTTTTTGGATCTGTGGTTTGATGTCTGACATTAATTTGGGGAATTCATTATTGTTCATATAAGTTCATTATTCTTTCAAATATGTTTTCTTTTCTGCCCCTCTCTTCTCTTCATGTATCCATGTTACACCTGTTTTTGTCCCACAGAGTTCAGGTGTTGGTTTTTTGTTTTGTTTTTTTTTTTGGTTTGTTTTTTTAGTCTTTGTTCTTTTTGCTTTCTGCTTTTTGAGGATTCTCTTGATATATCCTCTAGCTCAGAAATTCTTTCCTCTGTTGTGCCTAATACATGTCTGTCAGAAAGCATTCTTCATACGTGTTAGTATTCTTTACCTGTAACATTTCTTTTTGGTTCTTTCTTAACATTTCCATTCCTGTGCTCACATTGCCCATCTGTTCTGCATGCTGTCTACAATATCCATTAGAGCCTTTAGCATATTAATTTAGTTTTAAATTGTCTGTATGATAATTCCAAAATCCCTTTCATGTCTAGTTCTGATGCTTGCTTTGTCCTTTCAAGTAGTGTTTTTTTGCCTTTTAGTATGCCTTCTAAATATTTCTTTCTTTTTTTTTTTTTTTTTAAGATTTTATTTTTAGTGGTGCCTAGGTGCCTCAGTTGTTAAGTGTCTGCCTTTGGCTGAGGTCATGATCTCAACATCCTGGGATTGAGTCCCATATCAGGCTCCCCCTCTCCAGCTCCCCTGTGTTTGTGTTCCCTCTCTTGCTATCTTTCTCTGTCATAAATAAAATCTTAAAAAAAAAAAAAATTTTTTTTTTTTTAAGTAATCTCTACACCCAACGTGGGGCTCAAACTTACAACACTGAGATCAAGGGTCACATGCTCAACTGACAGCCAGCCAGGCACCCCTGTAAATTTTTCTTGATAGGCAGGCATGATGTTGTGGTAAGAAGAACTGATGTAAATACGCCTTTAATAGGTAGGGAGGAAAAACATTCTGTAATCCTCTGGTTAAGTTTCAGTATTTTAGTGAGCCTGTGCCTCCGGACTATGAATGTCACAAGGTTTCTCAGGTTTTTTTCTCCTTTTAGATGGGACAAAATGGCTAAAGTGGGCTGGAGTTGATTATTTCCATTCTCCCACTGGAAAGCTAGAGTGTGTGTGTGTGTGTGTGTGTGTGTGTGTGTTCATCCCGGCAGAAAGCTTAAGGCTACTTTTCTCCATATTCACTGTGGCAGTCTAGTTGGATTCCTGGAAGTAAATTTCACTGTATTGTGGGAGTCCTCCTATGACTGGGCCCCCTGGAGTTTTTAACTTTGAGAATTGACCACATCAAGCCTCCTGCAATTTGCCGGTTATGGTTCAGATTTTCTTACCCATGTACTGGCTCCTTGGTGGTTTCTGCTTGTGAGTCTCTACTTGAGATCCTTTGTATTTGCCTATCTCTTTTGTCTTGGGGGCAGTGGTTTGCCCTGTGTCTTCTCTCTCTTGTGAATCCAAGCAGCCTTGGTGATTTTCCAGTCTGTTCTACTTTTTACTTGTAAAAGTGGAGTAGAGTGACTTGCAAACTCTTAACATGTGGAACCAGAAACCACCAATCCCTTTTAATTGGTGAATCTTACTTGGCTAGCCCCTCTTTGTTAACTGCTAAAGCTGTTTTCCTTATACAGATCTCATACTTGTGTAACACTGACTTTTTCTTTTAGCTTAATCTTTTTGTCACGAACAGTCTGTGATGTCAGCTGCAGTTACTGAATATCACTGATTTGAATTGGTGTTTCTTTTGATTATTTTTTGCTTACTCATTGTTCAAATTTACTACTTATTTCTTACCCATATTTAAAAATTCTGTATACTTGTGTTTCTAATACATCCTATTTCCTTTCTCTAATTGTCTTTAAAAAGGAAGTTTTGTGGATTTTAAACTTTGAATCGTAGAATGTCTGAAAATATCTTTAGCTTTATTCCCCACATGAATGCCAATGTTTTTGGTATATAATTCTGTGTTTCATATAATTTTCAAAACTTCAAAGCTACATCTTCATTGCCTCCCCCCTATCTTCATTGCCTTTTAACATCAAGTACTGTAGATATCAGTGTGTTATCTGTTCTTTTATAGGCAATGTCATTTTTTTCCCTTTTAGGTTAAAAATTGAGAAGCAAAGATCTGTAGCCTTATGTTTTCTATTTTATTTTTGTTTTCTTGAGAATAATAAGAATACTCCTATTAGAATTAGTTTAAATTTGATTATAGTTAAAATCAAGAGTATTATTGTATATATTTTAAAAAATTGAACAAACTCCCATGCTTCCCCCAGGTCTTAATTTTAGTAAAGGTAAGGGTCCTTTAGAGGTAAACAAAACAGTCTTCCCTCCTGTTTCCATTCTACAGTGTTTTTAAGTATTTGCATCAGTGAGTAATGTCCAACTTCCTTAGGTGGCATATTCTCCTACCCGTTTTTTGGCTACTCACAAATTTATATATTTTGAATTGGATTATGACTTCCTGAATAATTTGTGTATTGTCTTCTCAATGGAGCAGTTCAAAATAAAGCTCTTCCAAGCATTTTGAATATGTAGTTCAAATGATGAATTATATATAGTACCTTTTTTTATGCATACAATTTTTATTAGTGTTTCAAAAGTTATAATTGCTTTTTACTTAAGTGTTAGTTGAAAATTTTATATAATAACCTTGGTGTTTTACACTACTTCATATCTTCAGCTATTCTTTTATTTAGTGAAAAAAAATTTTTTTTCCAACTTAGACCGAGTGTGGACAGTAATGACCTCACGTTTCCGATTGCCTGCTGGCAGAACCTACAATGTACGAGCATCAGAGTTGGCCCGAGACAGACAGCATACTGAGGTGGTTTGCAACATCCTTCTTCTGGATAACACTGTACAAGCTTTCAAAGTTAATGTAAGTATTTTATGTCTTTTTTCTTCTAATAATTTCTGGTTATAAATCTGAGTTTAGATGGTATTTTAAAACTAAAACTTTAATTGTAGTACAGTTTGAAAGCCTTATTCAGTGAAGAAAGTCTGTTTAGTATGGCTTTGTAAGCTTCTGGTATAAGTTCTGATTTAAACTGGGTCTTTTAAGAAGTTGACAAACAACAGTGCATTCTGATTAGTGGAGCAGATCAATAGTATATGGGTGGTTTTTATAAATGTGCTTGAAAGGTGTTCTAAATAATTTATACATTTTGTTTATAATCTTCCTTGTATTTTCTGTGAATAAAACTTGCTAAACAAAGATAAAGGACAGTCCTGATCTTACCTGAGTCTTCTCTGAAATATTCGTTTAACAAATATTTGTTCATCCTATTTGTATCTGTCTTCATTTGCTTAACATTGTGACTTTGCCCATGTGGCATGCTAACAGTTGTTGGTTCATTTTCATTGCTGTATAGTACTCTAGTGTATGAGTACACCACAGTTTATTTACTCATTTTTTTGGTCACCGTTTTCTTGTCCAGTTTACTATTGGTGTGTATTTGGATTTTTTCTGCTTTGGGCTCTTTTCAGTAACATTACTGCGAACATTCTTGTGTCTGTCTCATTATATACAAGTGTTCCTTTTTTTTTTATTTAAAAAATTTCCAACCTGCAAAAGAGTTGGAAGAATAGTACAGTAAATACCCACAGGGGTTCCTGGGGGCTCAGTCTGCTGAGTGTCTGCCTTCACCTCAGGTCATGAGTCAAAAGTTCTGGGATCAAGCCCTGTGCCAGTCTACCTGCTCAGTGGGGAACCTTCTTCTCCCTCTTCTTCCAATCCCCCTGTGTGCTCTCTCTCAAATAAATAAATTAAATCTTAAAAAAAAATGAATACCAACATCCTTTTAGCTAGACTATTCCGTTGTTAACATTTTGCACATTTGCTTTATTTTCCTTTTTCTGTGTGTATTCTCTGAACCTTCTGAAAGTTTAGTACTTCAGCAGCTTAGGAATCTCATAATTTACCACAGAACTACTGTCATCCTCAAAAATGAAACATTATGGGACACCTGGGTGGCTCAGTTGTTGAGTGTCTGCCTTTGGCTCGGGTCATGGTCCCAGGGTCCTGTGATCGAGCCCCATATTGGGCTCTCTGCTCAGTGGAAGGCCTCCCTCTCCCTCTCCCACACCCCCTGCTTGTTTCCCCTCTCTCACTGTGTCTCTCTGTGTCAAATAAATGAATAAAATCTTAAAATCAAACATTATGAAAATAATAGTAGCTGGTATATAGTCCATGTTCAAACTGGATTCCTCATTTCTCATTTTTATATCTCCAAAATAGCACCTTCCGTTTCCTGCTGTGTTACCTGGGTAGTGATATAAAAGACTAATCTGCTGATATCTTGCTATTTATAATAGCCTGGATAGATATGGGCTTATACCTAGTGAAATAAGTCAGAGAGAAAGAAATACTGTCTGACTTTACTCCTGAATGGAAGCTAAGAAAGCTGACCTCTTAGAAACAGAGAGTAAAAAGTTTCCAGGGGTTGGGATGTAGGGGAAATGGAGATGTTGGTAATAACTGGTACAAACTTCCAGTTATGAATAAGTTCTGGGGATCTAATATATGGACAGCATGGTGACTGTAGTCAGTAGTACTGTACTGTATGCTTGAAAGTTGCTAAGGGAATAAATCTTAAATGTTTTCAGAACACACAGTAAAAGGTAATATATGAGGTGATGAAGGTACTAACTTTATCATGGTAATTGTTTCACAGTGTGTGTGTGTATCAGATCATCTTGTCCTATCTTAAACTTACACAATGTCATATCTCAATTATATGTCAGTAAAGTTGGGGAAAATAAAATATTAATCTTATTTCCTTACCAGTTTCTTAAACTTAAATTTTTCTGTATTACCATATAACATGGTTGCGAATTTATCTTTTTTTTACTGAAACTTCAGGCCATTTCACACTGGAAAAGGGACTGCAGAGCAGTACGTTTAAGGATATTATCTAACTTACTCAACTAATGTGCTTTTCCAAATGTTAAGCTTTAATTTTTTTTGTATTCTGTCATCGGTTAAAAGGTAGGTGGTATAGGTTGCCAACAAGGGATAATATTCAATGAAGGAAGTTCTTCATAAAAAGTTTTAATTAATGGAAACTCATGTTTTAGGAATTGATATAAGAAAATAAGTCCCAGGGAGCCTGGGTGGCTCAGTGGGTTAAAGCCTTTGCCTTCAGCTCAGGTCATAATCCCAAGGTCCTGGGATGGAGCCTTGTGTCGGGCTCTCTGCTCGGCAGGAGCCTGCTTCCTCCTCTCTCTCTGCCTGCCTCTCTGCCTGCTTGTGATCTCTGTCAACTTGTGATCTCTGTCAAATAAATAAATAAATAAAATCTTAAAAAGAAAAAAAAAAGAAAATGAGTCCCTTTTTCTGTTACTGATTCAATAAAATTCTTTTGGGAGGTTTTAAATAATAATTCTTAATATTAATATTTACTTTACATTTTAACTTACAGTTTTATATTTGTTTCAAAATATTGCAGATGGATTTACTGTGTTTCCCATCTAGCAAAATATTTTCTTTTGGGCACTTTGGTTAATAATGGAATGTTGTATTTTTCAATATAGTAAACAGTGTACTAATTGCTCTTTTAGAGAGACATATATTTAATGTATTTATGGGTTTTGTTTATATATTCAAATATCAGCTCTAATATAATTTAGTGCATTACTACTAGAATGATAAATATTATATGGTACTGAAACTTTTTCTACCATTACTTAGGTCATCAACAGATTTAAGAGGAACAATGTGAGAAATTGACTGTTGGATATGTAGTATATTTATTCCTCAGTGTATTTGGACCCAACTCATTCAGAATGTCCGAGTTGCTTTGTACTTTTGTGTAGATGCTGCATATTTTAATCTATGTGAATTGCTCTTTAGTTATGCTGTGTACATTAAGAGGGAAGTTCAAATCTCTGGTATTTGTTCTCCGTGTCCACCAAGTACCATAAGTCTCAGAAATAGACACTGTGGGCAGCTGCTAGTTTCACCAGCATCTCTCTATTCACTGGGAAGGAGAACTGCTCAGTTTCCTTTAGAAATTAACCAAGCAATAATTTGTAACATCTTAGCTTTTGGAGTCATTCCCTTCCCTGCAAGATTTCTGTACCACAAATGAAATGTTCATTGTTGCCAAAGTGTGCTTTTTTTCCATCTGGTATTCATCTCATCAAAACCTTTTCTGTATATTTTCCCCCGGAAGAAAATGATGTAATGAAGGAGTTGATATAACTTCATTAGTTCCTTTTTTCTTTCTCTTGCATATACAGGATTAAGATAAGCATGTTAGCATTGCTTCAGTTTGAAGGTCCTTTTTCACTGTGGTTTTGGCACAATCATTTATTTTACTGTAGCCAGCCTGTGGAGTGTGTTTTCTCTCTCATGTCCTTGAATTCATTGTCAGTCACAAAATATTTAGTGGAAACATATTAAATGCTTTAAAATATGTAGTACTCTCCGTGTATGGGACCTCAGCTAGAAGACTGAAAGAGACTGGAGGCTAGCATCATCTGAAGGTTTATTCACTCATATGACTATTATCTGAGACCTTAGCTGAGCCTTAAAACCTTATGATCTGTCTGTGTGCCCTGGGCTTCTTAACAGCACAGTGGCTGTATTCCAAAGGTGAGCATCCATAGAGAGAGTGGGAGCCAGGTTGTAGCCATATTGCTTTTTGTTATCTGGCTTTGGAAGTCAAATAATATCACTTCCACCATATTCTATTTGTTAGTGCTATCACAAGGTCACACTCAGGATCAATGGAAGGGAAATTTATTCAGTGTATAGTTCTAAGGTGCTTCATAGATAGCACTGTTCAAAGATAGAGAACAAAGCTTTTGCATTCAGGGATTTTCTTTTCTCTTTTTCTTTCCTTTCCTTTTTTTTTTTTTTTCTTTTATTTTTCCCACATTGAATTTTTCCTCAGTTTACTTTTTCACTCTTTGAAAAATTTTTATGTTAAATGGGCTCCATGCCTAACATGGGGCTTGAACTCATGACCCTGAGATCAAGAGTCACATGCTCTACCAATTGATCTTACCAGTGACTCCTCCCTTAGTTTATTTTTTGGAAATAAAATTACCTTTAAAGTACTAAAGCTGTTCTCTAAAGTATTTTCTTTGTTATCAATCTTTATGTACTTAAGAATAACTGATAATTTTTTAATGATACTGTTAGGGTCCGTGATCAAAGAACGAGACTGATTAAAGCAAAAATCAAACAAAACTTTATTTCACGCCAAGCATCAAAATCAAACTGACCGGTCAGGGCTGTCTCTTACGAAAAGGTGACGACGAAGGTCCCGGTAAGTCCGCTCCCAACGTGGCTGCTCTGGATTAGGCCTTTCTGTAGATGAGGCCACTCTGGATGAGGCCACTCCCAGGATGAGGCTGCAGCTGATGAGGTCGCTCCTCAGGGCTGCTCCCTGGAACGGCTGCTCATAAAAAGAGGCCACTCTGGAGGAAGCTTCTTTCCTGACGATGCTGCCTCCCACAGGGCTGCTCACCGAGGAAGCCTCTTTCCAGATGAAGCCGCTCCCCGGAATGGCGCAGCTCCAGCGAGGCTGTGGCTCAGGGTATCAAGGCCTCTCCTGGCAGCGAGGCCGTTCGCAGCGAGGTTGCTGGCATCTAGGCCGTTCCCCGCTGTGTGTCACCGGGGCCGCTGGTGTCGGGACCGCTGGCGTCGGGACAGCTGGCGTCTCGGCTGCTGCTGGAGTGCTGGGACCACTGGACCTCTGGCGTGCTGGGTCAGCTGGCGTCGGGACCGCTGGCGGCGGGACCACTGGTGTCAGGACCACTGGCGGCTGGGCTGCTGCTGGAGTGCTGGCGGCTCGGGTGCAACGGCGGGTCCTCTGCAGGTGGCTCCGCTGCTCCGAAGCCGCGGTGTGGGCGGGGCTGCAGGCATCAGAG